AAACTTTTAAAGGAAGGAAGGAAGGAAGGAAGGAAGGAAGGAAGGAAGGAAGGAAGGAAGGAGAAGGAAAAAGAGAGAGGGAGGGAGGGAGGGAGGGAAGGAGGGAGGGAGGGGAAGAAAAAGATATGAGGACAGAGGGAAAGCAAGGGTAAACCTGCCTCACAGCCCTGGGGTGGGATGGACGGTTTAGAATGAAATAAAACAGGGGTCATAAGATGGTGTGGTGGTTCAGGCACTGGACATGGCTGACTGTGGTTCAAGTCCTGGACCTGGCAGCTTACTTTCTCACTTCCCCCACTCTGTCTTTCTCTGGTGAGTACGTTTGCCCTATAGCAAACTTAATAATAATAATAAATAAAATTAAATAAATTATTATTAAAACAAAAAAAGAATGAGGCAAACAGAGCCAGAGTCTCAGACTCACTGTGGGGACTTAAGGGACGGAAGGCAGAGACCTCAAGTCACCGGTCCCCACGTTCTCCACAGGGGCCCTGGCTGAGCCCTACGAGGGCCTGGAGGAAGAAGAATGTGGAGTCCTGGACGGCTGCACCAATGGCCGCTGTGTGCGCGTCCCCGAAGGCTTCACCTGCCGCTGCTTCAATGGCTACCGCCTGGACATGACCCGCATGGCCTGCGTCGGTGAGGAGCGGCCCCAAGCTCACACATGCAGATTGACCAGAGAGCAGGGGAGCCCTGGCTAAAGGGGGTTATCAGGATCCCACTACTGGGGACAGGCCAGCCTAGAAGGAGGAATTCTTGGATAGGATAGGACTCGACTTAAGAAGGCAGGATCAGGGGCCAGCAGGTGATGTGGCAGCTAACGTGTTGGGCTCCCACATGGCCGACCATGGTTCGAGTCCCTGATCTGGCAGCTTGCTTTCTCACTCTCCCTCTCTCTCTGATGAACACATGTGTCCTGTAGCAAATTAAATAATAATAAATAATAATTTTTAAAAAGAAGGTGGAGTCAGGGTACAAGGAAGGCAGGGCTTGACACAGGGCAGGGGCTGGGCCTTGAAGGAGAAGAAAGGGGGAGAATCCTGCAGATGTGATTTCTAAAGGCCCTGTGCGGCTATGAACCATTTGCATGACCTGTTGGGAGAGCCTCGGTCTGTTCATCTGTGTCTGCCAAGTGTGGACCATAGTAAAGCCAAGTGGTTACAATCAAGAACTCTAGGGAAGGGACCAGCAGTTGGAGTAATGGCTATGTCACTGGACTCTCATGTAGTTGGCCGCAGTTTGAGTTCTGGACCCGGTGGCTTAAACTCATGCCAGGTGCGTGTGCATGCGTGCCCAACATCCCAGGAGGAGAATGGAGGAGAAGGGATTGCAGCATGGCCATCCTCCCTGGGGGGTGATTTCTCGCTTTCTGTCTCTCTGTCTCTCTCTGTCTTTCTGGCGAGCGTATGTGCCCTATAGCAAAAACCTGTTCAAAAAAAAAAAAAAAAAACTCTGGGGAAACGAGATTGACCTCAGACTTAGTCCAGCAACTTGCTGAATGACCCTGTACAGGTCATTATCCTTTGCTTAGATAAAGAATCCATTTCACAGAGTTGTTGTGAACATTGTCAATACTGATTTTTTTTTTTTGGAGAGATTTTCACTGTAGGGCGCGTGCGCTCGCCAGACAGACAGAGAGAGAGAGACATAGAGACAGAAAGCGAGAAATCACCCCCCAGGGGGGATGGTCACGCCGCAATCCCTTCTCCTCCATTCTCCTCTCGGGATCTTGGGCACGCAGGCACACGTGCCCGGCGTGAGTTTTAAGCCACCGGGTCCGGGACACGAACCGCGGTCGACTACATGGGAGTCCAGCTACATAGCCATTACGCTAACTGCTGGTTCCCAGTACTGATTTATAATAACACGGAGGCCTCTGTGTAAACCAAAGCTCAGAAAAGAGAATGAGAGACAAGCAGTTAGCGTAATGGCCGGGCGCATGTGTGTGCATGCCCAAGATCCTGAGAGGAGAATGGAGGAGAAGGGATTGCGGCATGGCCATCCCCCCTGGGGGGTGGTTTCTCGCTTTCTATCTCTCTGTCTCTCTGTCTGTCTGGCGAGTGCACGCGCCCTATAGCAAAAACTTCTCCTCCCCCAAAGAAAAAGAAAGAAAAGAGAATTGAGGGCTAGCAGATGGTGGGGAAGTCAAAGCGGTTGGATCCCACGTGGCCAACTACGTAGTTCGAGTCTTGGACCCAGCAGCTTGAAATCATCCTAGATGTGTGTGTATGTGTGCCCAAAACCCTGACAGGAGAATGGAGAAGGGATTGCAACATGGCTTATCCACTTTCCTTCTCTCCTCGCTCTTGTCTTTCTCCAGCAAGTGCACACATCCTGTAGCAAACTTTTTTTTTTTAAAAAAAGGGGAGGGGGCGGCAGGTGGTATGGTGGTTAAGGGCGCTGGACCCCCCACATGGCCTACCACAGTTTGAGTCCCGGACCTCATGGCTTGCTTTCTCACTCTCTCTCACTGTGTCCCTCTCTGGTCAAATTAAAAAAAAAAAAAACAGTGAATACAATTAAATAAAGATAATTCTTTAAAAAAACACAGAGAGAAAGAATTGAGTTCCCCAGGATCTCATGGTCAAGAAATAGCAGATAGCTGAGCACCTCAGGACTTGGAGAGTTAGCCTGAGAACCCCCCAGGCAGAGTGTGGGCTTTCTGTGTGACATTGGGCAAGGAGTGTTCCCTACTGGGCCCCAGTCTGCACATAGGTAAATAGGATCACAGTTCCTACTTATTAGTGTTTTTGTTTTGTTTAGATTTTTGCCACAGGGCATGTGTGCTCACTGGAGAGTGATAGAACGAGAGAGAGGGAATGTGACAAATCACCCCCTGGGGGATATAGTCACAGGGCAGTCCCTTCTCCATTCTCTCGGGATCTTGGGCACGCACACACACAAGCCCTGCATGTTTTCCAAGATGCTGGGTCCAGGATCCAAACCATGCAGTCAGCCACATGGGATCCCGCACCTTAACCTCCATGCCACCTGCTGGCCCCTTGTTAGCATTTTTAGAAGGATAAAGTTAATATGCTTAAAGGAATGTGCTTAAAACAGTGTCTGGTATAGAGTAAGCACTTATTATTATTGATATCATCATCACTGTTAGTTTTCTAACAAAAATCTAGGCATATAGGGGCTACCATGTCCATTTTACAGAACACGAAGCTGAAGCACAGAGAGGTTAAGTCACCTGTCCAGGTTAATACAGCCAGCAGGTGGCAGTGGTTGGATTTGATGCCAAAGGAGAGGCTCAGTATCCGGACTCCTCAATTCAAGAGTCTAAAGAGCCAGGATCCTCAGCCTTGAGCAGAATCCTACCTTCTTTCCTAGACATCAACGAGTGTGATGAGGCCGAGGCCGCCTCCCCGCTCTGCGTCAATGCACGCTGCGTCAACACAGATGGCTCCTTCCGCTGCGTGTGCTGGACAGGATTCGCACCCACGCACCAACCGCACCACTGCGCACCTGCCCGGCCCCGAGCCTGAGCCCCAGCAGCCCCAGCAGCCTTGCACGTCTGCACATGTGGCATCCCGACTGCACGCACCCTGCAGCCCGCTTTGGCACAGGTGCACAGGGATGCCAGCCCTCAACAGAAGGAGGCACAGACTGTCGCATGAGAGGAACGACCATGCCCCTCACTGCTCACACCACCTCCAACCCACCCTACTGACTCCAAGGTCCTGGATCACCAGGGTCTCCTTCACAGTCCCTCTCTCTTTTATAGAATTTTCAATTAAAAAAAACGGCTATTTTGTACCATTCGCCTCTGCCTTTCTCTTTCTCCAAATCTGGCTCGCTGTGTGTTGTTTGAGTTGCTAAATTAGGTCATCTCCCCATTCCTGGTGCACGACGGGTTCTTAATTTCAACTCTGTTACTTAGTCTCTCTCTCTCCTCCCATTTCCATTTCTCTTTTTGTTGCTTTATCTCTGTCTTCTATCTCTTGTCCTTTTGCTTTGTGTTTTCAGACGATGTTCTTTGCCTGTCTTGTTTTTCTAATGATTTATTTTATTACTATTAATTTGAACAAAGAGTGAGAAAAGCAAACTGCCAGGTCCAGGACCTGAACCGCGGTTGGCCATGTGGGAGTCTGGAGCCTCAACCACCATGCTACCTGCTGGCCCCTAACCTGTCTTTTTATTTCTGTCTCTGTATCTGTGTTTCTCTTTTCCTTTCTTTGTTTCATTATTTCTCTAATATCAAGAGAGATCCAGCCTCTGGGTTTTTTTTAAGAATTATTGGCCATGTGGGAGTCCAGTGCCTTTAACCACTGTACCACTTGCTGGCCCCAGCCGCTGAATTTTTAATTTATTTATTTCTTCCATAAGAAAGAGTGAGTGAGCACCCCAACTGGTCTCAGCCTTGTGATCCACCACCAGCTTCAGCCAGCCTGGGACCATGTGCATGTGTGAGTCCAGCCTTTTCAAGGCGTTCTCCTGACTTTCCCATGTGGGTCAGTCTTAGAAAACTTGCTATTTTATGACTGTGCACCATCCAGTCTCCTGTTTTTTGTTTGTTTGTTTGTTTTTTAATAGGGCATGTGTGCTCACAGGAGACAGCGGGAGTGAGAAATCACCCCTCAGGTGGATGGCCATGTTGTAATTCTTCTCCTCTATTCTGGTTTTGGGATTTTGGGCGTGCATGGGTGTTATTCAAACTGCAGGGTCCAGGACTCAAACCACAGAGTCAGCCATGTGGGATCCAGCACCATAAGCACCATACCACCTGCTGGGCCTCTCCCCATTTTTAAGAACAACATTAAAGCCCAGCAGATGGCATGGTGGTCAAGGCACTGGACTCCCACGTGGCTGACTATGGTTTGAGTCCTAGACTTGGTGACTTGCTTACTCACTTTCCCTCTCTGTCTCTCTCTGGTCAAATGAAATAATAATAGAGACCAGAAGATGGCATAATTGCTTACATCACTGGACTCTCACATAGCCTATTAAACTTCGAGTCCCAGACTCAGAGGCTTGAAACATGTCAGGCAAGTTTGCATCTGTGCCCAAGATTCTGATAGGAGGATGGAGGAGACGGGATTGTGGGATGGCCATCGCCCCAGGGGGTAATTTCTCGCTTTCTGTCTGTCTCTCTCTGTCTCTTTGAGTACACAGGCCCTGTAGCAAAAATCTCTCCAAAAAAAAAAAAAAGGAATTAAATAATTCCTTAAAAAATTATATACATATTTTAAAGTTGTATTTATTTATTTCTTCCACGAGTAAGAGAAACAGAACCCCCACAGGGTCCTGATGCCATGGTCTAGCCCAGCCTCAGGGGCACACGCATGCCCGGTGTAGTCAAGGAAGTCTTTGGATACAAACCTGGGACCTTACCATGTGGGTCAGACTTGAAGTGTGTCTGCTTGTTTATTTGTTTGTTTTTAGGTTTTTGCCATGAGGTATGTATACCTGCCAGAGAGAGATAGTGAGAGAGAAAGTGAGAACTCTCCGCTCCCTGCCCCCCAAGGAGGGATGATCATGCCACAATCTCTTTTCCTACATTCTCCTCCTGGGATTTTGGGCATACAGGCACATGTACCAAGTGTGATTTTTAAGCCGTCAGTTCGGGGACTTGAACCGTGGTCAGCCATGTGGGAGTCCAACACCTTAACCACCACATCACCAGCTGGCCCCATAGAGTCATATTTACCATGGACCACTACCTGGCCCCTCTATTTTGACAACCACTCTATAGGGCATAGCTGGCTTGTGAGCCACCGTTTTCATCCTCTAAGTACAGCTCAAGTTGCATAAATGGAAAGTGGAGGCTCCTTCTTGATCTGACCCCTACCTACCTCCAGATCTTCAGGAAGGATCATATTCCTGAGAGCCCCCGGTGCTGCATGGGGAATCATACAAAACGTTTACTTTACAGGATTGTTGGTAGTGGTTAAATGAATCACATATGATTTATGTATGTGTTATTTTCTGCACTTTATCCATTTAGGAATTACATGTCAGGTGTTCAGAATGGCTCCTGATAAACGGCAAATGCTCAGTTATTGTTAGGGTGACCCTAGGTTTCCCAGGAAATGAGGAGCCCTGTGCCTGGCCAGATGGCAAGGGCAGATGGCTAGTCTAGTTCTTGTACAATTCCCCTTCCCAGGGTGAAGGAGGAGGCCAGACTCTGTCCCCTTCAACAAGATAATAAAGAACGCCAGGACCAGCGGATGGCATAATGGTTACATTGCTAGACTCCCACATGGCTGACCAGAGTTCAGGTCCTGGATCCAGTGGCTTGAAACTCACGTCAGGTGCATGTGTGTATGTGCCCCAAATCCCGAGAGAATAGAAGAGAAGGGATTGTGGTGCAGCCATTCCCCCGCAGATGGGTGAGTTCTCACTTTCCCTCTCTGTCTCTCTCTCTGGTGAGTGCATGTGCCCTATAGCAAAAATCTGGGAAAAGAAAAAGAAGAAGAGGAAAGAAAGAAAAGAAAAGTGGGAGGAACTCTATGGAGATCAAGAAGTTACCCTCCAGCTGGTAATAGGAACCTGACCCAAATACTAACCCATCATTCATTTATGTAACAAATAGTTTTTACAATAATTGCTTTGTAATAAGTGAGTGTTGGGAACACAAACAAACTTGAGCCCAGCCTTTAGGAGTGGGAACCAGAAGGGCTCCAGAGGAAGAGCTGTCTGAGCTGGGACCTGGACATTGTCGGGAAATGAGCCAGGGAGGCGAGGGAGCACAGTGTTCCGGGTGGAGAGAATGGCATCAGCAAAGACCAAGAAGTAAGGATTTGTTTTATTTTATTTAAGAAATAAATTTTTTTCGGGACCAGCAGTTGGCATAATGGCTATGTCGCTGGACTCCCATGTAGTTGACTGCCGTTCAAGTCCTGGACCCGGTGGCTTAAACACACCAGGCACGTATGCGTATGTGCCCAAGATCCCGAGAGGAGAATTGAGCAGAAGGGATTGTGGCGTGGCCATCCCCCCTGGGGGGTGATTTCTCACTTTCTGTCTCTCTGTCTCTCTCTACGCCCTATAGCAAAAACCTCTCCCCCAAAAAAATAAAATTTAAAAAGAAAGAAAGAAATGTTTTTCAAATTTTGCCAGAGTGTACATGTGCTCACTGGAGAGAGCAAGAGGGCAGAAAGCGAGAAAGCACCCCTACGGGGATGAGTACGCTGCAATCCCTTCTGCCTCAGATTCTCCTTTGGGATTTTGGGTACACATGCACATGCACCCAGCAAGGTTTTCAAACCACCAGGTCTAGGGCCATACAGTCAGCCATGTAGGATTTGTTTACCTTAATCACCATGCCATGGTTGGTACTTAAATATTTTTTAAATACCTTTTTTCTTGTTGTGTCAATCCCGTGCTGAGTAATACTGGTGTCTAAGCAATTGCTGGCTCTGGGGCCAGCGGTGGCCTCATGGTTTAAAGCACATGTTCATGTGTGCCCAAAATCCTGAAAGAAGAAATGGGCAGGACTAGCAGTTACCGTAATGGCTATGTCGCTGAACTCCCATGTAGCCAACCGTTGTTCAAGTCCCCGACCCGGTGGCTTAAACTCATGCTGGGCACATGTACGTGCATGCCCAAGATCCCAAGAGGAGAATGGAGGAGAAGGGATTGTGGCGTGGCCATCCCCCTGGGGAGTGATTTCTTGCTTTCTGTCTCTCTGCC